ATCATAGTTGGCTAGCAGTCTTTATATGCCGTATATGGCAAACCTGGTTGCATTTAGTACATAAAGAAGACATTTCAGAATCTCATTCTCAAATGTCAAAAGAGAATTTATTTATTACTGTTCCTGCTCATTTTTCTATCGAAATGAATGCTCATAGCCTAGTTGCAATTTGTTTACATGTGCATCAGCAAGATTTGCCCATTTCTGCTCTTAGGTTTTCAAGTTATCACTCACAATCTTGCGAAGCAACTTTTCGTAACTCAAGATCAATGTCAGGTGTTTTTTCTACAGTAGTTAATTTTACTACTGAACAGTTTCTTAAGCGAGCTGGTAAACTATCAGTACTTGCTGATATACAAAATCAGAGTGAATCTGGTCAGTTAAGCTGTTCTTTACAGTTTCCTAAGCATCACAAGCGATGTCGACAAAGTGCTGCTTCTAAAAACGTCGTTCTGAGTGCGTCTATCCATCTTCTCACTTGTGATAATATTAAAAAAACAATTTCTCAAGCATATGATGATGCTTATGATCTAGTATCTAAGCTTGATGTTCATATCGCTTTCAAGAAAGCAGAAAAAACTGAAATGCTTCAAGTGAGCTCCTTTGTACGAGCTCAGTTTGATAGAAAATTTAAAAAGGTCTCCTACGATGATGATGAATCGTATTTATCTGATAATGATGAATCAAGCTATAAATTCAAATCGGATATCAATACTGCAGCGGACTTAGATGATGATAGTTCATGTGATGATGAAACTGAAAATGTGTCTTCAATTTCAGCTAGTGGTAAATCTCAGTTTCATGGAATGAGAGTGTGCGACACTATTCCTTCCTCACTTGCGATGTCCTACTTTCGCGTTGAACTTGATGGGAAAAAAAATGTATTCACAAACAGACAGCCTGTTGGCTTTTAACAGATACTAATAATCGTTTGTCAGCTGATCGACTTAGACGAGTTCAACAAAGCAGTTCTTAGATTAATAAAAAGTTTGTAAGAAATACTTAGGAATATTTTGACATGATCAACTTCTGCTATTTTTTATTGCTTCATGTTTCTTTTATTGATATTTCATAGTTCGCCTTTCCTCTATGTGATAAAAAACCAAAATTCTCTAATGTCTCAGTTGACTTGATACCAATCTTATTACAAGATGTATCTAAGCTTCACATATCAGTAGATGTTCTTTTTTAATTGACTCTGGTATTTTTCAGGGCTTATAATTGCCTGTCAAATTCATGGTAATGAATATCAAAGAGAAATAGAGCAGTGAACACGGGTTTACCGAAAGAGGTTCACATGAAAAGAAAATAGTAGGCACGGGTTTTCCGAAAAATGCCTAAAAATCAACGTATGGATGCGGGTTTACCGAGTATCATCCGAAGCAAAAATAGGCATAAATAGGCACGAGTATTCCGTATAAAACTTGCCTAAATTGCTTCAATCCATTTTGAATTTTTAAAATAAAGACACACATAGCGAACAAAGAAGGATGCGGGTTTTCGGAATACACATCCACCTCTTCGCAGCAGGATGGGCTCTACGTGCCGAAGAGAAGAAACACTGTCTGAAAGCAGTGGCCACCAATCCTGCATCTTTTGGTCAATCGCAAAATTAAGAAATAAAAGAGTTATGTTAATAAAAACAGTAAATTAAAGAAAGTTGGATCTTCCGATTTATTGTTTTATAGTTTTCTGTTATTTTCAGATACAATGAGAAACCCGCAAGTATGGTGGGAATTCGGGAAATTTTTTGGAGAATCCTTTGAGAATCCTGGAAATCCCATGGGAATTTCGGGAATCCTGTGGGAATCCAGGGAATCCCATGGGAATCCAGGAAATCCAATGGGAATCCAGGGAATCCCGTGGGAATCCCGGGAATCCGGAATCCGCCGTTTGCCCCTTGGCTGGAGGACCTATGGGTACCCTCACAGGATAGCCCTTGAGGACCTATAGGTACACCCATAGGATCGCCCTTCGGGACCTATGGGTACACCCATAGAATATCCCTGGAGGATACATGGGTACCCAACAGATTAGCCCTTATGAATCTATTGGTAGCCCATAGGATAGCCCTTGAGAACTTATGGGTATCATTGTAGGATAGCTCTTGAGGACCTATAGGTACCCCCATACAATAGTCCTTGGAGACCTATGGGTACCCCATATAAGAGACCTTGGCGACCTATCGGTACCCCATAGGATAGGTGTTATGTTACGTCTTGCACTTGGAGTTCGATTCAACAATAAGTTGACCTTTCTATATTTATTAAGAAATAAACAATGGCTGTCGTACAATAGTTGTGCACGCACATATATAATATCAAAGAGAAGAAGAGAAGAAAGATCACAAACAAAAGTAACATGAAAGAAAAGAAAAACATAGAGAAAGATGTCGTTCCTAACACCCTTCCCCTTACAAGAAAAGTTTTTTGTTTACAAAATACTTTTAGCTTTTTACTTATATAAAGATGTGAACGAGAGAAAAAGAAAAAACTTCAAAAGAAGAAAGAGAAGAGAGAAAAAAAAACTAATATGACTATATCAGTTGGTGAAAGAACAAGTTCAGAATATCACAGGGAGAAAGAAAAAAGAGAAGAAAAAAAATAAGTAACAACAAAAAAGGGAAAAATAACAATATGAGAGAGATATCACAATAAAAGAAAAGATACAATCCATTGCATTTGATAATGGACAATGAAGTTCTACTTCAAGATATTTTAATGTCTTTTTCAACATCTTCTTGAGCCATTGTACTCAATGGTGCATAATCTTGAAGTAATGTTGCCATTGTAACATAACTATCTGACCATTCCCATGATAATGTACGATAAATTACAAATAAATCTGAACTATTTTCAACTAATTTTAATCCACGAAGAGAATAATCAAAAACATTATAATAACTTTGTCGTTCTTGTTGTGAAAATTCTTGTCGAATACCATCTGATAATGGAACATAATGTCGTGTATAATATCTCATTAATCGACTAGGATCAGCATCAACATTTTCAAACTTTTTCGAAATAAATCTTGCACATCTTTAGTTGTTTCTTCATCTAAACGTTTTTTTTTATGAGGACGTTTGTTATCATGATCACTAAGATTTTGAATTATATTTAGTACATATTCATAAGCATGTGCACTAGCAGATAAATTACGTTCAATAATTGGTGTTAATTCAATTACCCAAGAATATTCAAAAGAATTTTCATCTATTCGAATTTCATAAATAACATTTTGAATTTCACAATCAATATCATTCATAATTTGATTTTGTCCACAATATTTTTCAATTTCTTTTGTTGGTGTTACATGTGATAACATTAAATGACAATCAGCATCTATGCTCATTATATATGATAATAATCTTTTAAAGTCAATACTATTATTATTTTGATCCATTGATTGAAAGTTAAATTCGGCACTATAACAATTAAGTGCTAAACGAAGATAATAAACGTTGATGACATGTTAAACGATTTTTACTATCAACTATGATTTGTACAGTTTCGTGTTGTTTGATAAAGTAATAGTACAATCGCTTTCAATTTTTGATCAATATCATCAGATGTTTGTTTTTTTTCATTTTTAAATGATAAGGTATCTTGAGAGAATTCTGAACTTAATATAGTAATTTCGTCACATATCCAATTTAGTTCACTACTATTATCATCAATAAGTAATTCTGCCATCATATATTTAGAAAATTTTTCTGCATCAAGCATATCTAAATAATGTATAAATAATGTACATATTGTACCAGATTCTTTTAAACGTGTTTGAAAATCAGAATTTAATACAATATTATATGACATTTTATAACATAATGTAGCAACTGGTAATGTATGTAGATTGTCATCACAATCTGTATCACATAAATTTATTAAATCATATAATGTAACAATATCATCATTTGGACCTTTAAATAATCAATATATAGGTTCTTCCTTGGCTGCATTTTGATAAAGTATTGCTTCTGTTTTAATTATTTCATATGATTGAACAATAGCATCAACATAATAACACATTGCTAATGCAGGTTCATCATATATTAAATCATTAAGCCAACAATTAATATCAGTTAAAGCATTGATTGGTTTATTCATTTCTCTTAAACGAAGACTAACAGCTGGTTGTTGTTCATCACCAAAAATAGGTGAATCTGAACCAATTAACATTTTCATAATTTCAAATGTCCAATTAACAGTTCATTGAGATGATGATGAAGTAAAATGAAAAAAAAGAAAAAAAAAAGAAAAGGGAAAAAGGAAAAAAAGGAAAAAAATATAATAGTAATAGATATAATAACAACAAATAAACAAAATATATATATATATATATTTTTTTTTCTATTTTTTTTACTATTTTTTTTTGTTTACTATTTGAGTTGTTATTAATTATTCATGATGATGTTGATGACGATGTTGATGATTATATTGATGGTGAGGTTGATGACGATTTTGATGACAATGTTGATAATGATGTTGATAATGATGTTGATAAATTTGATAATGTTTTCGATCAAATATATCTTCTGGTATTTGATCTTGGTACTGCTGTTGAATCAAGGAGTTCTTTACACCAATAACTAATATGCCATCAACGTCCTTGATGTGTATGTAATTGATGTGATGTTGTTCTAGAATTTTTCTGATTGATGACTTTTTAAATTTATAATACATCGGACGAGTAATGTAATGTTGGTAACGACGTGTTCGATGGGTGTTGTTTCGTTTTTTGTTTCTTCGTTGTCGTGATGCGATTGATCGTTGACGGTGAGGTCTGTTACGTTTTGTTGTTGGTAATTTTTCTTCGATAGCTGCAGCTGGTGGAGTTTCATCATTATCATTTTCTTCAGCTGGTTGACCTTCTTGATTATTATCAACTATAATTTCATCATCTTCATCACTAATTAATTCGGCATCATTAACCAAACTTTGACCAGTAAATTTTTGTTCATAATTTGAGATTTTTTCTTTTTCGAGTTGCTCGTTCGTAGCTGGTGCAATGAGTTGATTGAGATAAATTTCATCATCTGATATTGGTTGTAAATCATCATCATTTGAATTAAATAATTTTTGTAAATTAATATTTTTTTTTAATTTTTTTACTTTTTTTATTTGATGAATTAATTTTTGGAAGTGATAATGCTTTAAATGATGTAAATAATTCAACAATATTGATATCATTTAATTGTTTGAATGTCCAATATTCTAAAACCGGTCGAATAAGATATGTTGTTGAAAAGCAATCGTAAATAGCATAATTAATCATTTTTTTTCTTCGACCATATGATAATGTTGAATTATTGGATGTTAAACCTGCAGCCCAATTATTAACCGTACTCGATTTGTCGATGAACATGTGTGCTGCATAAATTAAGGCCTTCTGGAGAGCCCATTTTTCACCTGGACGGTATGGACTTCGTTCATGACAAATACACCTTGATAATGAATAATTTTGTGTAGTAACATTATCATAATTAATAGCATCAGGATGTTGACGATGATGATCCGGGCTACATGACTCACAATGAGCCAGTGCCCACTCATACCAATCCGGAAAATATAATTGTATGTTGATTAATGATGCTGTTGTTGGCCAATTAAATAAATGATAATTTTGTATTGGATCAAGTTCTTTTTCCATTTCGCCCCACGAATATAATTCATTACCAGATCTAAATACTAAATCAAAGAATTCTTTAATTTTAACATACGTATTTAAATGATTTGATGGTAAATGTGCCAATTCAACTAATACAACTAATGAGGGTAATCGAGGTGGTATAGTTTGTATTTGTATTAATGCCAATTGATTATTTGATCTTTCAGATTCTGTATCGATGGTAAATTGAGTGCATGCTTGTACATGATTGATCAATAAATGCATTTCTTCCATTGATGTATAGTTGTTGACATGAATCACTTTGTACATAGATGGTGGTACAACAAATTGTGGATATTGTTGTCGTAATTGAAAATTTTCTTCAGTCTTGGTTAATTTTCGTATATGTTGTTGTTGTTGATACTGTTCACGACCATTTGAGTTATCATCAATATCACGTAAATAATGTGGAATAATTTTATCTGACATAGTAATGACTAGAAAGAGAAATAAAATAAACAAAATGAACATAAATAAAATAAAAATAACATATAACATCTTATTGGTTCATAGTAATAATCCCATCGATAAATCAATGTATAGATATCACTCATTGATGAAAGCACATTTTATACAATATATAGTTAAGAAAAAAAAATTCATAAGGAATAATCAGAACAGAAACATCCATAAAGAGGAGTTTTCTGACATGTAATATAATGTCAATTTTTGTAATCATCAATTTTTGATAATGCTATCCATATGGGAATGATGATAACTATTGATAATTAATGCGCGCATATTAAAATATCAATTTTTCCACACACACTAATGAATCAATGTTGTCCCATGAAAGTCGTTGCGCATACGCCAAACATAGTCAAACATCAACCATTATATCATAACAAAACATATACATTAACATTAATTGATCATTAACAAAAAATAAACATTAATATTTTATATTGTTTTGGAAATGAATATAGGTCGAATATCATTGACATGCACTCTCGATTCGACCTGCGTATCTTCATCTTTAACCCAATAAATTGGATGTTGTTTTTTAATAATCACTTTAGGTGTAATTGAATATTTTGGATCTAATTTCGTTTTTGTTCCATGAATTTTAATCAATACTAAATCATTAATTTCATAATGTGGATCTGCACGTTGTTTATCATAGCGATGCTTGTATCGTTGTTGTCGGCTATTAACATTATCACGTGTTTGTCGTTGTAATATCAGTAGATTTTTTTTTAATGGTTCATAATAATCTTGCGGTTTGTTGAAGGTGAACGATGTTGAAGGTTCATCTGTAGGTAAACGTGGATCACGGCCATATTGTAATTGAAATGGTGAATAACCAGTTGTTGCATGAATTCCAGTATTGTAAGCGAATACTACTGGTAATAAAAATTCGTCCCAATTGTTATTTTCACGATCTTGAAGTTTTGCAATTTGGGGAACAAATGTTGCATTGAAACGTTCAACCATTCCATTAGACTGTGGATGGTAAACACATGAAAAAATATGATTGTAACCGATTAATTTTGCCATAGATTCCATAAGTTGATTTTTAAAATGAGTACCTTGATCAGATAATATAGCTGATGGTACACCATATTGACAAATATGATTATTAAATAATGTTTGGGCCGTTGTTTGTGCTGAACAATCAGGTAAAGCTACTGCCGTTACCCATCTTGTAAAATAGTCAGTAATACATAATACATATTGATTGCCACGAGGTGTTGGTTTGAACGGACCACAATAATCAATGCCTATTAATTGAAATGGTCCTTCTGGAGTAGGAATTGGATTAAGTCGACCTGGTTTCTTAGTACGATTAATATTGTATTGTTGACAAGGTAAACACGATTGTATATATTGAGTAATCGATTGTTTCATTTTTGGCCACCAAAATTTATTTTTAATCTTTAAATATGTACGTCGAACGCCAAAATGACCACTAAGTGGATCATTATGGTAGAATTGAAGAAGGGAGTTAATCATAGATGATGGTAAATAAATTAATTTTGTTTTTGTAGTGGAATTACTACGCATTAATGCCAACTTGTATAATATGCCATCTTTAAATACATAAGAATGTTTTGTTGAATCTTTCATAATTTCTTTAAGTTTATTTTGAATAACTGGATCTTTTGCTTGTTCAATTTTGATTTGAGTTATATCAAAATTATTAGATGTAATTAAATCTGATGTAACTTCATCTGAATGTTCAATTTTTTCTTGGCTTGATGAAGATGATTTATCATTTATAATTGGTGGTATAGTTATATGAATTTGATCTTGTCGTTGTGCTATTTGTTTCATCTTGGAACGTGTAACAACAGCACCAACAATTTGAAAATTGTTTTCAGGAACATGCACCATTTCTGGTGGTTCCCCTTGAAATAACATGTTTATGCCATAATCTTCATCAAATATTTCTTCATCATTTTGTATTGGATGACGAGATAAATAATCAGCTAAACAATTGTGTTGACCTTTAATATGAATAATTTTTTCAATATTATATTCTTGCAATAAAATAGAAATCCGATCTACTCGTCGATTTTTTACCGATGAATTCATCATTTTGCATAAGGGACAATGATCAGTATAAATTATAATAGATCTTCCAAGTAAATAAGATCGCATTCGTTGAAAACATAACCATATAGCTAATGCTTCTAATTCAATAGGATCATATCGTCGTTGAGTAGGAGATGTAACTTGAGAATGATAATATAAATTTTTAATTTCACCATCAATATTTTGTTGTAATGTACCACCTATACCCACTTTCGATGCATCGGTTGTCAGTATAAGTGGATAATTATCATTTGGAAAATTAAGAAATAATGGGGATTTAATTAATAATTCTTTTAATTGTAAAAATGCTTGTTGTTGTGCATCACCCCAAACAAATTGTCTTCGATTTGGTTTGGTCAAATTTGTTACTCGATGGATGGGTGCTGCAACTGTAGCGAATTGAGGAATAAATTTTCGGTACCATGAAATAGAACCCAGGAACTTATTTGCTTCTGCTAATTTAGAAGGTTCCCTCAATTTAATAATTGCTTGAATTTTTTCATTATCAGGTTTAACACCAAATTCAGATATCGTATGAGATAGATAATCAATATGTTGATGAAAAATATTACATTTGACCGGATTAAGTTGAAAATTATGTTTTGATAAAGCAGCTAATACTTGTGCAAGATGATTGAGATGTTCTTCAAATGAACGAGAATATACCACGATATCATCAATATAAACCAACGAGAATTCCCGACATGGTGATAATATATCAGTCATTACTCGTTGAAAAGATGGTGGACTATTCTTAAGACCTTGAGCCAGCACATTCCATTCGAAGAGACCGTCTGGAGTAATATATGCAGTTTTAAATTTGTCTTCTTCTTTAATTGGAAGTTGCCAAAATCCACTCTTCATATCAAGTTTAGAAAAAAAATTATAGCCACCACCTAATAATTGTATTGCTTGTTCCATATTAGGTAATGGATGATTATCTTTAATAGTAATGTTATTTAATTTCTTATAATCAACTACCATTCTCCATGTACCATCTTGCTTAGCTACCAGTAATGCTGGTGCTGCATATGGAGAATCAGATGGACGAATTAATCCAAAATGCAATAATTCTTGTACTATTTTATACATTTCTTCTTGTTTACTTGGAGTAGAATAATATGGTTTAGATACTGGTGGAGGATGGTCAAGCGTTTTAATAGCATGAGATGTTACATTACTAGCAACTGTTAATTTACTTGTGTCAAATAATTTTGCATATTGATTAAGAAGAGTTTTTACCCTATCTTGTTGTTCAGGATTATCAATATGTCGAATTAAATTATTAATGTTCTTATGTACGATTTGATGATCAGTAGTTGAATTTCTTTTAAAAGACAATGTGGGAATAGTTGTTGTTCCCAAAATAATTCCTCTTGGTAAAGAATATGAATAAGTTGTTGGATTATGAAGTGAAATAAATGATGTATGATGATGAATAGTTAATGCAGAATTTAACATAACGACAGGTGATCGTTGTTGTAATTTAAAAGATGGACGAAATAATACTTGAGCTGACGATAATTCTACCGATACAGGAACTGTTACTGTTTGCTTTGGTAGAACCCGAACATTATTAATTAAACGTGCAGGATATCTTATATCGTTTTTATTAATAGCAAATTTCAATGTTGTTCGTTTATAATCATCACTGATTGAAACTATTTGTTCTTCTGTATTAATAATTAATTTATATTTATTAATGAAATCCATGCCTAAAATACAATCAGCACATAATTCTTTAACAACAAATGCTTTAATAGAAGTTAACATATCACCCATTGTAATAGATAAAGTCATTGTACCAAAAACAGAAAGAGATGTATGACCATCAGCTAAAATTATACGACTATGTGATTTATTAACAAGGTGCTTACCATAAGATGGATCTAATGCTTTAATTGAAATAAAAGATCGATTTGCACCTGTATCAATCATCACCTTCATTTTTTTATTATTTACAATAACATTAAGATATAGTAGAGATGTATTTGGTGTCGATGGTTTGTTATACAAAGTATTGGAAGCAACACCACCGATCATTGCCTCCTTTACCCGAAATGGGTACGGGTACAATCCCGAGCATAATGTCCAGGAGTACCACACTTATAACAGCAATTTGATCGTTCTGCATATTGTGAATATCTTGAAGGTTCATAACGTTGATTTTGCTTAAACGAAGTTTGTGTAGTACGTGGATAATTTGGACGTGACAGTGATTGTGCGTGTGAAGGTATATTTCGTCGAATATTGTTACTTGATTTTTGTGAAGTAGTTGTTCGTTCTAACGATTTTTGAGCTGTAGTAACATTGATGGTAATCTCATCCTGGTGCACGTCATTGTTTGTACTGGTAAATGATAATGTACCTTCAATTTTTCTAGCAAGTAATAAAAATGAGTCAGTTGTTTTTGGA